CCTGGATTTTTTGGAAAGACACGTGCTCAGGAAGGGCTTCCTATTAGGGACGAAGGGTTGTACTGGCCCCCTTTGAGGACAACCAGAAAAAAAGATCTTTTCAGTGAACATGCTGAGAAGGCAAAATGGAAGTCAAATCTCCACATTGAGGAACGACACGTGACCCCCTTCATAGTCCAAAGACGCTAGAACCTTCCAGGGTCTTTTAAGAAGATGTCACTGCAGAGGTGGGTGGAAGATTGATAGTGACTTTGATAGATCCTTACAGCCCAGATGTCTTTTTCAGGTTTTGGTTTAAGCCTCTTTTTCTTTTTCCCAGATTCTTTGACCACACCAAGGCCCTGGTAGTCACAAAGGCCACCTGCGTATGCCCATGGTGCCTGTCTGATGAAACCCCACAGTGCCCAGGGAACAGAGAAAGGAGAGCCTCTCTGGGTTGGAAGGCACAGATAATTTCGCCCGTATTTATTCTGCTCATGTTACCTACTGCTTGGAGGTAAAGATTGGCAGTTTCTGGGTCCAGGGTCACATCGTCAGGGGAGACCAGAGGGAGTGCTGGGCAGGATGCTGAAAGCAGGGATGAGGAAAGCTTCTGGGGAAGCCGCCTGGAACCCAGAGAAGGCTATGGCCTGGGTTGTGCCTCCCTACATCTCTGCCAAGAAAGGGAAGCCTGCCTGCTCCAGGCTTGGGCAAACCCATTAGCCATTAGAGGACTGCATATCTGTGGAAGGCCTTACTCTTCCTCTCTCAAGACAGGGAAAACTTGGGAGACTCAGATGTGACCCCGTTGCTGGTGAGTGTGTAGTCAGCACACTGAGCCTGGTGAGGGCGAGGTAAACGAGGTGCCAAAGGCATAGAGTTTAAGGAGGTGCTCGAGCTTCAGGTGGGGCAGATGCCCCATTCCCTGCTTTTTGGCCGCTCTCCCAGCACTGGGCTGTGCTTAGGAGCTGGCGTTCTTTAGGCTTAAGCTTTATTGACATCCTGAGGCCGCTGGTCAAGCTTGGCCTAACAGCTTGCCCAGACCCACTGCTCACAGTTCCCCCCCTCACTGTTCCCTTCTCCCAGGCCTGATTCCTCCCTCTTCACGTGAATGATAATAACCCTACCTAGACGCTTTCTTCATGTGTTGAAATGCGTTAAGATGACAAGAAATGTGAGCAGAGGCCTTGCCTGGTGCCCTCTCTGCACATTCAAGTTAGTTGACTGTTGACAATCCTGTCTCCTTCTCCAGGGTTTGCAAGACATATTATCTCCTCTCCCTTCCATAAGTCACACCGGCTGGTGCCCATTTAGATGCCTCACTGGGCTTGTTATCATGAGCTATTCCCATCTCCTCCAGGGCAGTCAACAGGTTCTTTAGGGACAGAAAAAGGCTTTGAGCGCCCAGCCAAAAGGTTCTTTCCACGTGTATCTTCCCTCCACACTAGAGAAGGGCTGCTCTCCAGCCGCAGGGAGAAGCCTGCTTCCCTCCTACGCTTCTAGAACAACAGTGACCACCCAGGGGAAGCAGGACCTCTCATCATCTTTGAACTTTTGCAGGAGGTCACTGAGTTCACCCTGACTGGAGAAAGCATCTATTCTCTCGCCCAGTTAGTTAAGTTGGAGACTGATGGTTTAACCTTAATGTTTTCATTCCTAGGAATAAACAGGTTTTTTTTTGCAAGGATGAATTGATTTATTTCTCAGGAATAATCAAGAGAAGGGCAAACTGTACACTGTCTTCTCCCAAAAGTGGCATCTGGAAGAGAGGGATGCAACCTGGGGTCAAGCCTGCCCCTCACATTTGCAAGGCCTGGGATGAGGGGACAAATGGAGGCCCACACATCATAGATCTATAGCTTCAAAAGTCATACCTCAAACCAGGGAACTGCCTAATAAGTGGATCTTCCTACCTTGATACGTTTACTTTTATAATAACCTAAAAGGTCAAGTTCAAATTGAGAATTCTTGGACTTCTGCCCAGGGACAGGCAGTCCAGGGAGTTCTTGCCTCACCCCTCCTACCCTCACCCCTGCCACCCCCTTCTCTTCCTGCCATGGCTCTGCTCTGAACTATGAGGGGCCTGTGCACACATGTGTGAACACCCCAGGCTGTATGTCTGAGCTGTATGCATATGTCACTCTTGGCCACCCTTGGGTTTGCATTACCCAGAAAAGAGGACAATGCAGGCCCTGGAAGTAAGCTCAGGGCTATTTGGGCAGGATATTCTGGGACTGTTGTCTAGAAGACGGACCTGGGGCTTGGATGTGTGTTTGTGAAAATATTACTTTGGCCCTGAGGAAGGGCCAGAGAGGGGACTTTTCACAGGATCAGGTGCAAGGGCAGTGCTGCCAGGAATAACCAGCTCCCGATCAGGACCTTCCTCTTCTATGCGGACAGAGTCTTCTCCCAGACCTTGCCCTCCCATGTGCTCTGCATCACCAGGGAAGAGGCCGGTAAGGAGAAAGTGGTCAGAGTTCTCTGCTATGTGGATGCAAGTCTACAAGGAATCCAGGGAACCGCCTTCTTACCAACTCCCAGGCCTCCAGCAACTGCTAATGACCAACATATTCAATTGGAGCCACTAACCCAACAGAAAAAAATGGCCATTCCCAGGTTCTATGGGATCCACCCAAATGCCTTGTAGAGAAAGGAAGTGGGCAGGGGTGGGAGTGGTGTTGTTATGTCAGAGCCTGCCAGGCTAATTGTTTATCATCAGACCATTTTATTCTCTGGATAAAGAAGCAAAAGCAAGACATCTGATACCACTGTTTTTCCCCTTTGGCCCATCAGCCTTTACATGCCTGTTTAAGACATGCCTACTATTCTGTAAAGAAAAAAAAGAGGACTCAGGTAATTCCCAGATGCCAGCCCAAGTCAGCCCTGCATGAGGCTCCTGACTTCCTAGATAATCCACAGCATCCTTAACAAAGCGGACCAGCATTCATCCTATGCTTTTGTTTTATAGGCTGTTTTATGACTGGAAATTACCTGCTTATTGTAAATCTCTCTTGTGGGATTTACAGAGGTATCATCTGTTCTATTTTCCTGGCTCTTTCACACATTTATTTAAATTCATTCATTACTTGGCAAGAACATTTTGTGTTCTAAGTCTTAATCATGTAAGAAAGAAATATTGTCCAACAGACACGGCCATTATTATATTGATTTAGTTTTTATTCATTTAAAAGTTGGGGTTTCTCCCCCTTGATGGTTCTCTAGCTTTTATGATACAGTTTCTCTGTGAAGCCCTAGAAATGGCTCATAAAAGTGGTGTTTGAGTTTGTGGGCTTCCAAAGGTGCAAAATGCTTTCTTCAAGGAATAAACTCAAGTTTATTATTGCTCCAGAGTTTTATAAACTATCTTCTTTGCAAGGGAGAGACAACAGTACATTTTAGTTTTTGCTTTTCTCAATCACTGACTCCTAGGTTGGTCCCTGATTTCCATAACTGTCTTTGACCTCAGGGAGTTTTCAAGGCCCTTTCGACCTCTCTCCTGGCATTTTTCATACATGTGTGTGTAAAATCTACATAACTGATAATTTATCATTGTAAGCATTTTTAAATGTGCAATTCAGTGGCCTTCACTACCTTCACAGTGTTTGTAACCATCACCACTATTTCCAGAACATTTTCATCACCCAAACATTCCTGTACCCATCGAGCAATAACTTCGCATCTCCTGGCATTTTGATCCTTAGTTTATGCAGTGTTTATGCACTTTAGAGCCAAGGAACTGACTTGGAATATTTGTTCTGTCCCTTACTAGGCCTGGGATGTTGAACAACTTGCCCTATCTCTAGTTTATTCAGTTGCTCTGTCATGTTTGACTGTTTGCAACCCTGTGGACTGTAGCCCACCAGGATCCTCTGTCTATGGAATTTTCCAGGCAACAGTACTGGAGTGGGTTGCCATTTCCTACTGCAGGGGATCTTCCTGACCCAGGGATTAAACCCACATCACTTGCATCACCTGCATTGGCAGACGGATTCCCTACCACTAGCGCCACCTGGGAAGCCCAAGTCTTAGTTTACTCATCTTTAAAACGGAGCTAATAAGAATCAGAATAATAGCCTTCATGGAGTTGTTATGTGCACACAGTACGACACACGAAGAACATCATCAGCCCTCAAAAAAGCACATTTCTTCTCCTTACTGTCAGTGTCTCATTGCATCAGATGAGGGTTCTCCGCTATCATTTCCCAAATCCCTAGATCTTCACTGCCATCTGGGCTAGACCTTGCTCTCTCTCCATCCCTGAGGCAGGGCTAAGAGGGGTTCAGGACATTTCTTCATCTTCCCAATAATGACTAACATTCACTAAGTAACACTTGTCAAGAAGAGAAAACTCAGCACAGAGATAGATGTTAAGGAATGTGAAGCAGGTCTCCCAGCTTGTAGGTGAAAGATAGGATTCCAGTGTGGTCTGGCTTCAGGGCCCTTGTTCTCAGCTATTGGACTCTAAAGCCTTGATGTGCGTGTAAGCATCTGGTAATGATTGTGGCAGAAGCAAATTCAAGCTCACCCAGCAAGTCTGTGGCATGGCCAAGAAGACAGACTGGCCACCTGATGCCCAGCCACTGGCTCTGACTGCTGCAGGGGTAATTATCCTAAGAGTGTTATGTCAAAGATAATCAGGGAGTCAGACAATCAACTTCTTCCTTAGAGCAAGGCCTGAGTCTTTAGGGAGCTTTTAGCCATGAACGATAGCAGTGGTTTCCTCCTGGAGTATTGCTTTGATGGCTTTCCTCATATATCTTCCAAACCACATGGTTGGAGCTGCCCATGGATGAGTGTCACCGGCTGCCCACCCACCTGCTTCACCATCCTGATTCTCAGTCCTCTGATACACCCCACCCTTAAGACTTTATTGACTGTGGTAGTTGAGGAGTGACTTCTCATTTAAGACATTGTTCATATTTTCATGTTTGTTTCTGAAAATGGCTTTGATGATCTCCCTCAGTTGGGACAGAAGGCTTTCCCCTTGTCCTCTAGGAATTGAGAGAGCTTCTCAAACTCACAGGTGACTTTTTGTCATTCAGTTTCTGCTTGTGTCTAAAATAGAGACAAGTGGTCACATGAACACTGAAGTAATCACATGCATCTTTCCTTTTCATCATTGCCCACAGATGCTGCTCTATAATTTCTTCGTTGTTTGATTCTATTCCCATCACATACCCACTGTAAAGGAATTTTAAAAGGGAGACAAAACATAAATGTATTTAGAACTTCCAAGTGTATGTCATGCAATGTGATTTCAAACTGAGTTTTTGCAGCTCCAAGGTTACCTTCAGTGATCTTAGGGGATAATCTTAATTATGAACCTCTCAGAAAATAATGTTACTTCACCCTTATTTAAAAAATAGATGTGCCCATGTATCTCTAAGGGAGAACGGGACATGTCATGAAGTCAAGAACATGTGTCTGTGGGTGTAATTATGAGAAGACTGGGAATGAGTGAGCTACTCTGTAAAGCATGTGGGTGTCTGCTTTGTGGTCCAGTTCCTTGGCTCTGATGTTGGGCTCTAGGGAAGTATACATATCTTAAAATGTGCAAATGGGAGGAGTTCAAGGAACATGATTTCTGCTGCATCTGGACACCATCCTTGACAAGATGAGAGTGACTCCAGAATGCAGAATGAAGAGTGAATTTAAGGGGCAAAAGGCAAGTGTTTCAGATAGCTAACCAGCTCGGACCAGAGGGTGTGTGCTGAGAGGCAGTAGCAGACAGGAGGTAATTAAGTATTTACCAGGAGCTGACTGTAATTGGAACTGGAACCATCTGAACCGCAACTGGCAATAACATTAAAAAAAAATAGCCCAAATATAAAATGCTCAATTAGAAAAAAAGATTCAGAATCTATAACTGTTAAGGTAGAGAAACTGTACCCAACTTGTATTCACAAGTAACTTTTTTTCTTGGTCTTCCTCTAAGTCAAGAATTGCAAACTACTGCCCACTGGCCAAGAACCACCCACACCTCCTGTTTTTGTTTGACCCTTGAGCTAAGAATGGTTTTTACATTTTTAAATGGTGGAGAAAAGTCAAAAAAATGCTTTGTAACTTGTGAAAATGATAGGAAGTTCAAATCTCAGCGTTCACAAATAAAGTTTTATTGGCACACAGCCATGCTCATTCAGTTATGTATTGTCTATGGATGCAGAGGTAAATGATTGCAGAGACTAACTGGCCCTCAAAGCTTGAAATATTTACTAATGGCCCTTTTAAGAGAAAATTTGCCTGCTCTAAGGAAATTCTTGCAATTTAGGCAGTTAATAGCTCTTCCCCAAGAAATTAGTTCCATTGACAAATCAGGAAATGCTATTTTAAATAAAATCAAATGGTTCTTTAATAAACTAATGTGACACAGAACTCTACCCAGAAAAGAAAAGAAAAAAAAGAGTTGGGGAGAGAGAAGCAAAGTCTTTGGTGTTTTCTAAACTTATTGTCCCTGGAATGTTTTCTTTCTCTCTCTTGTTCTTTAGAGGGCTCTTTTGTGGTACTAATGTTCCGTGGAACATGACTTGGTAAATACTGATGAGAAGTAATTGGTGATTTATACATACGCAATTGAGGCAAGGGGGAAAATCCTGCTACTTAGAAAACTGGTGGTAGAATTTCTCTCAGAGGGAAATTTTTTTTGTTTCATAAAACATTTTCTAGGTCATTTGGCCATGCAAAATTAGGTTCCAGGAACTCGATTTGGAAGGTGGAAAAAGGAAACAAAGAGAGTGTTAAAATAATTCCGCATTGTAGAGTGAGGACAACTTGGGGTTTGGGGCCGGGCGCAGACTTTATAATTTGTGCAGCCCGTTGCAAAATGAAAATGTTCAACATGTAGCAAAAGGTGCCATTAGAGGCACTAAAATATAAAGCTTTTTTCTTTCAACTGCGGTGTCTCTCTCTGTCATGCTGGTTTTAATTTATTTAATTCCTGTTCCCTCAGGCATAAGGACTCCACAAGGGCACCTGGGATTTGGCTCTGGGCATGCGCAAGCCACTCACCATCTGCAAGCTCCCTCTGCCACCAGCCCCCAGGCTAAATGCCCTGCCCAAGCCACGGTGGGGAAGTCAGACCAGACTACTGGTCCAGTTCCCCTGGGCTGGCCATCCCAACCTGCCTGGGACAGGCAAGCTGCTCCGGGTAGGTCACAGGTTGAGGGTGGGAAAGTGGGCTTGGAGTACCAGGCAAAGGTGGGAGGTAGTTCAAGGGGGTGGGGGTGCAACACCCCCTGCTTCAAGACAACCTGCCCCTGGAAGGCAGAGGGCTTGTTGACAAGAGGGCTGAGTGTGAGTCCCAGATGCATACTCTGTTGATCAGTCAGACTTCACTTACAAAAGCACAAAGTCAGAGATAAAACTCTTAAGGATTTCAAGACAGTGAGCATGAAGCATGAAACCCGAAGCTCAGGCCCCTTGAGCACAGGTGCCTGTGGGGCCGCGTTAGTCGGCCTGTGTGAAGCCAGGTCTGGTGCAGCCTAATCACTTCTACTTTCTGAAAAGAAGCGACTCCGCACCTTCACTCCACACCCAACTGTTGGGTCAGCAGTTGCCTTGGCAAATTACATGCAAAAGGGACTGATTTCCTTGTTTGAGTCCTTGCCAGGGGAGGGAACAAAACAGTAGTCGGGAGGCAGGGCTAGGGAGACTCACATTTCAGCATAAACAAGAAATTGGACCAGAGGTGGCCGTGAGAACACAGTCCCACTGGGAGCATGCAGACATTTTTGGTTTCCAACCATGCAAGTGACCAGAGCCAGCTGGAAGGCTTGAAAACAGCCAGATGGCCCACACTTGGGTTTCCCATAGTATGACTGATGCTGTATGGGGAACATGGTGAAAATATGTAAAAATCATCTGAGGATACTTAATAGTCCATTTTTTACTGCATGCATTTCCCTATGCTAGAAGTAAATCTAACTGTGGTCTTGTGCTGCCTGAATTTATCACTATTAATCACCAGTGACAAAAACCAGCAGCAAAGGATGGTGATAGATCTTAACTCAAGTCCTGGTTTCTACTTCATACCTCAACTCCCATGTGACTTGGGGGAGAAACTGGCCATAGGCCAAGACATACTCTTAACAAGTAAAGAATATATAATGCATCTTTTCCAGAAAAAAAAATATTCAAAGCAAGGAGGAGCAGAGCTGCTTCTGCCCAGCCAACCTGGCTTTGATCAGAATTGAGTGATGGAGAACATGGGAAGACAAGCAATGACCATTATTTTTCTCACCTGACCAGCTGACAACATTGAGTAAATCAGGACTGACTGATAAGTCACTATTTATTTATTTATTTAAATTGGAGGCTAATTACAATATTGTGGTGGTTTTTGCTATACTTTGACATGCATCAGCCATGGTTGTACATGTGTCCCCCCATCCCAACCACTCCTCCCTCCCCTGCCCCATCCCATCCCTTTGGGGTGTCCCAGTGCACCAGCTTTGAGTGCTTTTTTTCATGCGTTGAACTTGGACTGGTCATCTATTTCACATATGGGAATATACACGTTTCCATGCTATTCTCTCAAATCATCCCACCGTTGCCTTCTCCCACAGATTCCAGCTTTATATCAGTCACTATTTATTGAACACTTGTCAGACATCGGACATTCTGCCACACCACTCTCATGTACTATCTCACTTAATAGATTCTATCAGGCCATTATCCCCTGTTTTACAAATTGAGGCTTGGAGAAGTTTCACTTTTGTACAATTATACAGCCAGTAAGTGCCAAAACTCTGACTTAAACCCAGGTCTGTGCTTGTCTAGCCCAACCTAGTCATGTCTAAGAAAGTCAGTCATGTCTAAGAAAATGAATTTCTACTGGCCTTCACTGAATAGTAAAACTTGCCTTACTCTTAAATGTCCATGTCCAGAAGGTACTGAAGCTGCTTAGATATTTTGTTAATTGCAGTAACCTAAGATAAATCACTTTTCCAAACAGGAGACGTAAAATAGTGAAGGGGATTGATGGCATGATGTCTAATGTTATTTCTTTGATTTGAAATGTTTTACCTCCAAGGTTGGGGCTTCCCAGGTGGCGTTAGTAGTAAAGAATCCACCCGCCAGTGCAGGAGATGCAAGAGACAACAGTTCATGGGTTCATGGGTGGGGAAGATCCTCTGGAGTAGGAAATAGCACCCCACTCCAACATTCTTGCCTGAAAAATTCCACGGGCAGAGGAGTCATGGGGCCATCAAGAGTCGGATGCAACTGAGCCCATACATACAACCCTCCTAGATTGAGGACTGAGGTCGTCTCTTTCATGCCTCATTTTATCTTCAAGGTCTTACATCTAGCAGTCACTCAATAAATGCTGGAGAACATAATGCTTTGAGGAAAATCTTGAGATTGGTGGTCAACTTCTTGAAACTTTTGGTAGCTAGCATGATAAACAGCTGTTTTAGGACAGGTAAAAATGACTTGAAAGAATAAACATTAAAAAAAAAGTCTACCTCACCCTTGTCATTGTGTATCAGTGTAACAGCTCCACAGTGGACAAGTAACCAGTCTGAGTCTCCTACCCAGATCTCTGCAGCTGACTTGCCTGCTGTTTCATTGAGGCTACAGAAGCCATTCACACTCAGCCTAGAAACTTGGGATTTGTTTTTCCCTTCAAGCTCCATGTGCACCCATGGTTAGGCTCTACCATTGAAGTATCTCTCAAATCTGTCGAATTTCTGTGTCCATATGTAAAATGTATTTGGAACACAGGCACATCCTTTAAATATTATGAAAATGAAAGTCATTCAGTCATGTCTGACTCTTTGTGACCCCATATACTTGTATCGGGCCAGGCTCCTTTGTCCATGGAATTCTCCAGGCCAGAATACTGGAGTAGGTAGCCATTCCCTCCTCCAGGGGAATTTTTCCAACTCAGGGATCGAACCCAGGGATCTCCCACATCCCAGGCAGATTCTTTACCATCTGAGCCACCAGGGAACCCCTTAAGTATTGTATGTAGCTGCTTTTGCCTTGCCCATGCAGACTTGACTAGCTGTAACAGAGACCTTGTGGTTAATAAAGCCAGAAAGATTTGGTATCTGGCCTTTTATAGAAAAAGTTTGCTGACCTCTGTGTCAAAGGAACATAGGGACAGACTCAGAGCTGCTCCCCCTCGGAGTTCAGCTGCTCCTTCTCCCATCTTTCCCTCCTTACTACCTGCTTCAGAGCAA